GGCCGCGCATCTGGTGCGAGCAGTACGCCGATCGAGTGGTCCCAGTATAGCCATGTCTCAAATTACAATTAACAGTTGAGATACTTGCAGTCGTTCTGGGCAGGAAGTGACCTGAGAATGCCTCGTGACTCTTCATAATTTATACAGAGCGGCAGGTTCGGGGGAACAGATCCAGCAAAGAGGATGTGGCTCCCCATGCCAAGACGTACCCGTATATCCGCCTTTCCTGAAGAGGCAGTATTCGAACGCAGTTAGTTGCTTGGCACAGGAATCAGAGCCTCCACAGTCATCAACCAAGTGGTGAGCTGAAGACGAGCATATTACACATCCGCGGAATGGATCCATGAGCGCGCTGTATTATTGCCTTGTTAGGTAGTAGGAATATCAAGATGACCCAGCTAACATCAGACCCCACGGGCGCCACAGCGTCCGTGGGACTGACTCCAGAATCTATATAAGACGAAGAACTTCTCTCTGTTTTCTCTGCTGATAATCAGGTTCTCCTTTTCCTTTCATAAAACACAATTCTCCTCGTTTGTCCCTCACTGTTCGCTACGATGTTCAAGCCCTCTGCCAAACACCTGCTGCTCGCCGCTCTGGTTACCCAGCTTCTCCCAAGCATCAGCGCGGTGTCCTTCCCTGCCACAGGAGGCCCATACAACACCAGCATCGCAACGGCCCCAGCTCATCGACCATCGTCGTTTGGATCCCTACTCCGCAATGCCACAGCCACGTACTCTGATGATCTCTCTCTTTCATCCCGTCCCTCCACCAAGCTGTTGCCCCTCCCTGACGTCCTACATGGACCCCATCACCGCAACATTCGAGGATGAACAGTACGCACAGGCTGGCATCCCAGCCGGCGCCTTCGGCTCACTTACACTTCGAACCTGCATGCCTTGTCGGCCTTCAGATTCTAGTCGCCGCGTCAAAGGGCAAAATTTCCGCTCATTCTCTTCTCACCTGGCCTGGGAATTCTCGACTCTTGTACAGTGCTATGGCACAGCAGTGCGTTTTCCCCACCTTCTGTTATCCACTCATTAAAGCATTAAATCGACATGTCTTGCTAAGTTACACTTTCACTGCAGACTGTCCAGCACTGGGCTACATCGTCGTAACCATCGACCATCCCTACGACGCAGGCATCGTAACATTCCCCAACAATGCCACAATCCTCGCTGCAAACATTACAACCAATGCCGAATATCATAGCTGACCTGAATATCCGAGGTGAGAGACGTATCCTTCGTCCTCGATCAGCTTTATATCCCATCTGTCATTTCTAGGCTCATCCCACGCCGAATTGCGGTTTGGATACCTTAAGTTGGAATCTACGGCACTTCTTGGCGGTGCGACGCAGCTGAGGCTATGCTTTCTGATCCCGTCTATTGGGGGGTGTCAATCTGGACGGCACATTTTCGGCTCTGTTATCTGACCGGGGATTGGATAAGCCGTTCATGTTGATGGCGCGCAGCAAGCGGAAGAATTTGACTACTGATGTGAGCTGGGGCGCTCTATGGGGCCGAAGGCTGAAGGGTTTTAGGAGAAGATTTATGCTTGGGTGGTAGTCTACGAACATGGTACGTTTACGGATTTGGCGGTGGCTGCTGATTTGATTTGGTCTCAGAGAGGAATATCCGGCACAGACGGCCGCATTCTTTGGAGTATCGATGGGGAAGAGCCCATCAGGCTATTGCTACTTATACGAGCAGATTCTTTGACTTTGTTTTGAAGGGGGAAGAAACATGAGTTATTAGATCGCTCCACTATGGAGTTTCCTGAGGTGACTGTTGGAGAAATTAAGTCAGTAAGGCACTAGTTAAGAAAATACTAAGATACGATAATATATTCTTAGCCTGATCGAGTAGCTTGTGTATAACCTTGATGGGAATTATGCAAGAGTATATACTGAAGTAAGGCTGTAGCATGATCATTATACATATATGTTGCTTTCACTATACTAATTCTGGTAAGAAACATCACTTCTCGTGTTCTGACGTATGCCTAGGACCCTGGGACAAAGGTAAGCAACAATACACCTGCGCAATTACCTCAACGGCTTGTTGTATCTTGAAGAGGCCTTCCTCACTCAGAAAATAGCCCCAACGGGAAGAAGTATATGAGAACCTGACATGAGTCTCATAATGGGGAAGCTTGAGTCTTGTACCAGTGGCTTAGGTGCTTAAGGAAGGCTCCAGTCCCTTGAGTAGGGATGCAACGGTTGGATATTGGCTTAGCAAAATGGGAGTGACTTGACGAAACTTAATCAAAGTCTTACGATTAAGTTATAAGGGAATAATCATCTTTAGTAGTTAATTAATGTACAGTAGTAGTAATACATATATATATATATATATATGTATGCATATTGACCTTTAACTACTATAATTCAAGAATGATCCTTAACTACTAATAATCTAGTATTAATATGAATTCTCACCTAGTAGCGATATTGAATGCCATCTAGTGTTGATATCAAATTCTCGCCTAGTATTGATATTGAAAGCCATCTAGTATCGATATCGAATGCTGTCTAGTAGGGATAGTGCAGTGCGTGCGACCGTGCGGAGGGAAGTGTTGGTGAGATATAATCAATGTAAAAAATCCAAAAGTTCCTTTTGTACAAATAGTCCGCCGTACTGCTGTCTACTCCGCATAAATGTAGTCCTGAGATCTCTACGAACTTACGAAGCCCAGAGTGAGTCATGACTCATTCTACAGGGATCTCGAGCAAACCTAACATAAAGTAGTCAATCCTGAGTCAAATGCTCCATAGACACACAAGTCAACCCGAATGAAAAACCTGTCTCGGCAGCCACTACTTTACGAGAATGATCGTACAGGTTATACTTCTATCCGGCAGATCTGGTGTCGGGAAAACTACCATCGCAAGCGAGATGTCGAACACCTAAAAATCCATGGTATCCCTCATGCCCATATCGATGGAGACAATCTAGATATGGTATATCCCGAAGAGGAGGGCCCCGATTTGCTACTTCTCAACCTTGAATCTATGTTCGGAAATTATTATCGCCGCCGAGGGATGCAGCAGACTCATCCTATTCGGGAACTGCAATGGCTCTGGAGTATGAATCTATCCAAAATACTCTCCAAGCTGTCATCCAAGATTCTCTCCAATTCCCGCGGGAGAGAGAACCTGCTATTGATCTCAGGGGTTCATTTTGAAGCCACCGACAATACAGCCTCAGAGAGGCTACGAAAAAGAGAGATAGGCAGTTTACTGGATCATCATTTGGCGAGTGGCCTCCGAATGGCATCGGTACTGGAGAACGAGGTTGGGGGATGGGCTTGCCGAATTTCAACGGACGGTCGGACCGTGAAGGACATTGCGGCGCAAATTTTGGAGCAAGCAAACTGGGTCTAGAGAGCAGGGTTCTCTTCTTCCATGTAGATGCCAAGGATACCAATTGAAGTAATGATAAATTCTTAAATTAAGACAGTACTGTGTACTGGGATTGTTTATGGTAAAGGAATGCTTCCTATACTAGATAGCTGGATAGGTCTATAGATAGGGAATAAGCACTATAAACATATATAGGTGGCAGTTTTAGACCTCATAAGTATTATTATGGATAAAAAGATCTATCTTACGTAGTCCCAATTATATGACAGTTGATCTATCAATACTTAGAGAGAAGGAGATAGAGGGATAAGATGAAAAAAAGTATAGTAGGGATAGTATATAGGTGAAAAACATATATTGAGGAAAAAAAGTAATGTACAAATCTATTATATTATAATACGGTTAGTACCAATTGGGGAAGAATATTTAAGGATCAATAAATAAAGAAAATAGAATGAAAAAGGACATTTTTAAAGATTTAAGAGTTAAGACCTCTCAAAATTTCTTTCCACTAATGGCAGTGCAGAGAGCTGGGACGAAACATTCACCTACAATATCCTAGGGTGTAGGAATCATTCTAAGGGATAAGGCTCATAAAATCCAATACTACTATCCCTCTTAGGACTCATTGCGAATCCATCCAGGATCCTAAATCCTAATCAAGCTAGCGGTAAATACCATGGATTCAAACATTTGATGTGCCACTGTAGGTAAGGTTCGGAACTGGGATAAGAAGGGAAATACCAACCATATGAAGCACACATAAAGGTTTTGATATGGTTATCTACAAGTGTCTTAGTCATGTTTAGGAATGTCTTGATTGGAACTGACTGATTGCCGCAGTTGCCATGGTGGGTTAGTGATAGTGGAAAGATGTTGTTGATTAGGGATTTTGTGCAGGCAATGGTGCTGTATTTGGTGCATGTACGTTATCTTCCTATTTTCCTTTATGGGGGTGTGCTGTATGCGTCAACTAGAAGGTGAGACTATTCTGATGATTGTAAACGGGGAGCTGGAATAGTAATTGAAGACGGTGCTGCTCTGGCTGAGTATCTTGACTGGGCCTTGCCTGCTGAGATGTCCTAAAACTTATATGGGCCTTCTAGCAAATTCACAAAAACCGCGTTGAGTGGATTTGAGAAGGGGTGTTTGAAAATGGCAAGATCTGGCATTTGGAGCATTGTCCTAAGCAGTAGGAATGGGATGCTGCTATTAAGGGCGACTTTAAGCAGCATGATCTGGGATTGTATACGGAGGGAAAACCTACTATGCGGTCTGATCTGGAGTTACAGCCATGGTTTGTTTGGGAACGATGCTGTTGGGGAGACTTAGAAGCAGCTGGATTTGATATGGGCGTGGTGGTGTTCCTTTCAGATAGATTTGGACTGCTGTATATATACTAAGTGACTTTAATAAACTAAAAAGGACCTCTTGAGTATGTTAAATATGTAATAGACATGGCCTATAGAGTGAAAAGTTGCATTGGCTGCGTGGCATTTACCTCTGAGTTCCCTTGGATGAATCTCTCCTTAGGGAAATAGTTGGCAACCAGGTTCTGTTTCCGACTTGGATCTCGCGCGCCCATTGAGCGAGAGGATCATATATATCATCATGTTCTTGTTACCTGAACGTCTCTTATTCAAGGCAATCCTCCAAACCTCAGCTGTTACAGCTTGTCTCCCGTATCTTCAATTACCAACCAGATATAATTATCCTAGTAAGTGGCATTTCTCCGGCGGGGCGCCATGCTAGGTAAATTATACTGAGCATCTAGATCCTATGAGAATCGTTTTGAGCTCTGAATTCTGTCAACTGGGTTTCCCCACGGGGATCTGCATAAACTGTTTTAGCCTGCTATTCCAGTCAAACTCCATCAAGGACAGGAATATAGCTAATTTTCTGCAGCGATGTTCTTCAGGCTGATATAATCAGCGCGTAACCTAGCAATTCAGGCTACTGTGGGCAGAATGATTTCTCAATAGCAAGGGATTTTGCTTCTTTCTATGTTTCTAGGCGTAACATTCCAGCATGGTATTATACCTCAAACTATTGACGCGTTTCGAGCCCAGCCCAGTTTATGTAGAGGGTCAAGCTCATGAGATATGTCTTGAATACACTATAGCGTTCGTAATTTCAACCATCCTGGTAAAAGCATATCACATACTACTGCTCAACAAGATAACTATGATGAATTTTCAACTTGATCTCACACCAAAAGGTCCCTAGGTAGTGCACCATATCCCCAAACTAACCCACACCTGTATGATAGGTTACTTCCTCACTCATTTCAATGTCAAAACCGCCGGCCTCCAAGGCAAAGTATTATAACCCCCACTCGCACTAGGATCATGTCCTGATAAAGAAACTGCAAATTACAAGCATCAACAGTCATGGTCTGATCAGGGTTGGTTCTCACAAGATCCCCGTGACTGATATCATTCGTCCAGGTCGCTCCACTATTCGCCTTCCCAGCAAAGGGGTTACTCTCAGTCGCGGCCTGCGCAGTCCAAGTACCCCCCAAGCTATCAGCTGTGAAAGACCGGAAATATCTCCCACTCGCACCGATAGCCTCGACAATCATGAGATACTTATTCTGGCCCTCCACAGTGTAAACCTGCACCGCCTCGAAGAGATTATTCTGGCTATCACTTAGGACGACTTCATACTTTGTACCGAAACTCCCGGGAAAGTTGGCGATGGGCATGCTGGCTCGGTAAATCTTGCCGTTGTCGCCGGCGAAGAACAGGTACATGTTATTGCTATCGCCGATAACGGTTTGGTCGATGACGCCTGTACTAGAGCCAGAGATTGTTCCGGAGAAGAGAGGTTGGGGCGAGGACCAGCTGTTGGCGTTTGTGGGGTCACTGGATGTCTTGTAGGAGAAGGATGTCGGACCCCATTGGTAGGCTAGGATCCAGATATTTTTGGGCCGGAAGTAGAAGATTGTTGGGGCGACGGTCCCTGAACTCATGGTGTTTTGGCTTGCTGAGGCCATGTCGGACCAGTTGGTGAAGGGGGAGAAGCTCATCGAGCCATAGTTTCCGGATGCATCTGTTGTGGAGGCGTAGACGAGGTGCTGGCCGTTGTAGACGACGTTGGTGAAGTCTTTGAGCGCGGTCCAGCGGACTTGGGTTGGGCGAGGGCACCGGTCGATGTCCAACTGTAGGTGGATGGGAGGGAACATGCGGCCAGAGTACCTGGTGTTGAGAGGAGGAGGATACCACTCAACCACGCGAGGCTTGCGATGGACTTTCGAGGTGTCATTTTGTAATCTTGTCCTCAGGAGGGGGTTGGAAGGGATGGACGAGGGTCTAAGTTGTGGGATAGGAAGTTCAGATGAACAATGGGGATATTTATATCCTCTCAGGTGTCTACGGCAGGTTTCTGCTGAACCAATGTGAAAGTGGCTAAATGCGAGACGGCTAAATGCAAGACAAAACAGTTGTGACAGCTGCCTCATATAATTGTATAATGCGACCATGTCCAATCTGCGGAGAAAACTGTGGGGAAGAACCCCCTGATAAAACAGAGATTTGCCATTCTCATCACGCATAATGCACCGCAACAAAGGAGGAATCTGATCCGGCAATCAATCTGTAACAATGTCTTAGTTGACAGGTTGGTTACCTGTGCTGCTCTGATCACCAATCTCTGTATTTTCAATGGAAATTGGACTAAGAAATACTATGTGGGATATGACATCGGTAGTGAATAAGTATGAGTGTGGAACATACTAAACCTAGTATAACAGCTGAAACCAAACTAACGCCCATGTTGGCACCAGTTCAACGCTATGGTAGATCCCATTGGCTAGCATGATATATATGGATCTACGGAGTACTAAGACACGAATTGGCCAGATAGTGTTTCGCCGTAATGGTGTATGGAGCGAGCGACGGCCCAGGATTATAATCTTCCTGGGCTATCAACCCGGCTGACCTGTCGAGAAGCTTGACGAGTTGGTTGACCAGTTATTCAGTTAGTTAGCTCTCGTCTCGGGCATTCAAACGTTCTAGACTTGTCTAGTCTCACCATAGTTTCACCCATCAGCCTACTCATTATTATCAACGGAATCTCTAGTGCAAGCCTTGCCTAGCAGTCAGTGGTCCAAATGATCACCATCACCAGGATGCACATTTCCTGTTGTTTAGGGTAGGTAGTTAACGACCTTATTTCTGGTATCATTAATCTAGAAGTCAGATCGGGGGGAAGAAAAATAAAGTAGAAAATATACAAAGTAACATTGCGCTAATCAATGATAAATGGAAGTATTTCTGGTCATCTTTCCTGAACATCATCATCCGCCTTGAGGCAGTTGACGATATCTACCAGACCCTACTCCCGTTAGCACCACTCATTCCTGTAACACCCAGTATATTTTCCGAGCTGACTGCTCCAGCGTCCCCATCTTCGCAGCATCAATCATCAACCCATCCTTAAGAAAGATCCCCACATATGCAACTGACCTTTGCCTAGTATGTCGTAGGGTGTATATGATTATGACTTGGCACCGGCCCGGTTGGTGGGGTACGGAGGGAGTGGCGGAATCACATGATTGATTAAGGAACGAAAAGTAGAAAATTTAAAATGATTTTCCGCTCCTTGCGGAACATCATCCTACTATAGAATAATAAGAAATCACCATCAGGGAGCCCACTTCTGCAAAGATGATAACTTGCACTAAAAAAGCAGCCATGTCAACAATCTCAATAAGACAAACGCCTAATTTTGTCACCTGCATATTTCGCCATCTCAGGGCCCTCAAGAGGATGAATAGGGTTACTTTCCAACTGGAACGGCTTGATATTGCCGGATGCTTGCTGGACCTGAATCTCGGTTTGTTGTTGCGAGCTGCGAGGTATTCTACCCCAGCAAAAAGGGATTTGCTGTTCAGCGGTCTGGCTTTCAGGAGCTGGAGATTCCCGGCCCGCTAATTGAGAACACAGTTTATTTTCCATTTTTCCCTTCTTAGATTGGTATGAATCGTTGCTTGATCGCGTGATGGCTTTGTGGAAAGGACAGGGAAACAAGGAACAATAGGTTCTTGTTTTCACCCTTTGGTGTTTTGTAGCCCTTACTGCAGTTAGGTAGCTGTTTTATGGTTCTGAACTGGAAGAAGTTAGTGTATATTGATTTTGTAGAACTAGAATTTTGGAGTTTCCTCTAAATGGAAAGTAGGAACGTATCATAGGTAAGATAAAGCTTACATTGTAAAGGATATACAGAGCAGCTTAGGAGCAACTGTGAGATCAAAGCAACTCTGGCCTTGCAATCATAGTTACTCATAAGTATCTTTCCTTCAGATATATACCGTTGGCAGACCCCACATCTGCTGTGTAATCACCAATCCATGGAATTTCGATCATCATGACGTCTGCATTTAATTGTGTAGGAGGGCTCGCTGTTGTGGCTAGACCGTCCGACTATTTGGACCCAAGGAATGGGGTGTAGCCAGTGAGTTTTTTGGCCCAAACCGCAGTTTTCCAGCCAGAAAGTTTATCATCTAATCAGCCCATCCACCACGTTTTGACAGCGAGCATGCGTCACCTGACCATGAAAGCGTCCTTTTGAGGTTGAGATACGGAGACTGCTGTCTTAGGATTTGGGCACTGAGGGATAGTTGAATAAAACATTGATTGGATTTAGCCACCACTATTCCACATGGCACCCAAACATGGCACCGAGACGGATCAAGTTTTCAATGAGGATACTAAATTGAAACAATGTCATGATCGCAACTTCTCTTCATATAGCAGTGTATATCTATCTCAAAGGTTGATGTTAATACGATACGTGTATCCTGGCAAAGGTAATGTACCTTATGTTATGTTGAAATCGCTAAGATACGTAAACTTTCCAAATCACTAGTAAACTATATGGCCAATCGAAAATCAATGAAGGTCCGATTCTTCTAAACGAATGACTATCTATCTCCTATATATGCCTTCGATAGGGGTCGGATTGCAGGTCTTCTAAATGATCAAATGCTATCGAATATTCGGCCAAGAGTGGCAGTGCTTCGCCAATTCGTATGCTTCCAAATCGGGCAAGCGGTAACATAATTCAATATGTTAGCTCTCGAATATGCACCTTCTGACCAGCCAAGTAGCCACGTGTGAGAAAGCTCAGAACCGTATCGGATTTCGCTATCACTAGTAATTTGGCTACCAATGATAAAGTTCGGAAGGTACGATTGTTTCTAATCTATCGTCTGACTAGCTAGATTTTATACCAGCGGATACAGGCATCTAGAGAGGGGTAAACTACCGATTATCAGCCATAAATGAGTGTAATTAATCTAATTGAGATCAGGAAGGTCCTTCCATAGGCCTAGACTGGTTAAACCCAACCCGGAAACCCCAACCCAACCCGGCCTAAACCCACCTTGGGCTGGGTCCGGGTTTAGAATTTCTAACCCGCAGGCCAGTTAGGTTCTGAGAATGAGAACCCATTTGGGTTTTAGGTTGAAAAACGGGCTGGGTTGGGTTGGGTTGGGTTCTTATTATAGGCTCTCTAGAACCCGTGTTATTATAATACAGTTTTAATTATATAGGTATGTATGGTAAGTGCTCTGCAAGTTAGCATAGATGAAATCTAACTAAGGTTAGATTCAGTATTATAAGAGTATTAATAAGTAAATTAATATTGTATTAATAAGGAAAAATATTATATTAATAATTTAATATCCTAATTTAATGTCTTCCATTAAGCATTGCCTGATATTTGCCATGTTCATGCTGGTGATAAATTGGTCGCCGCGGAACCTGGGGCTGACATGATGTTGTTTGAAGTAGAGTTGGTGATGGAGGAAGATTATCTTCTTGTACATCATCTAGTAGATATGCCTGACCTTCCTTAATATCATTAATATCTTCCTCTTCACTAATATAGTCAGGCACATCTACTAGATTAGCATCATCTTCTTCATCTCTAATAGTACCTCCATCTTCATCATCCTCCTGAATGCCTATAAATTCTTGTCAAAGTTTGAAATTTTCAGCACACATCTGGATCATTATTGCTTGGATTGTGCCTGGGAGAAGACGACTTCGACGGTAGTGACAGACATCTCAAGATGTATTGAAAAGACGCTCAACCCCCACACCACTAATAGGCACAGCTAAGAAGTCTCATGCCATTCTTGCAAGAATAGGAAAATGATTCTTATACTGTTTCCAATACTCAAGCACATTCGTACCAGAGGGCATGAGACCTATGATTAGTTAGTAAATCTAACTTAAGTTAGAATTATATAATGTACCTTCTTGTAAATAATCCTCAATCTCACTCAAGGCATTATCAGTTTGGGTTAGAACACGTGTTTTACCCTTCCGTGTAATAGCAATGACTCAATCCAGTTCAGAAAGACAGTTAGAGGTATGATTTATCTTTACTTTCTCTGGAAAGACTGCAGCATAGTAAGCATAAATATCCTTAAGGGCACTGGCATACCTATCATGCCAGTTAACATCATCATTACTCTATGTATCTTCCTGAAAGACTTTCAGTTTAAACTAAGGAGCTAGAATAGTTGCAATAGCATAGACATATCCTTGTGCATAGTATGTCTTGCTATAATACTGACGCAGCTTATCAATAGCCTTAGATAAGGCATGCCGTAGTTCCCTCTTCTAAGTTATGCACTTTAATTCCAGTCGTCGTTGAGCATCCTCTAAATACTGAAATAAGGAGTTATAGATGTCGAAGGCCTTATGGACTGTAGGTCCATTAAACTCTAATAAGGCAAGAGTAAAAGCAAAGAAAGGGTGAGTTAGCTGAAGTAGGTATTTAATCCACCGCCACTCTGCATGAGAAGGAAGAAGATATGTAATGTCTTCCTTCTCCCACTTTTCTGAAAACTTAGCTAGAGCAGAGTGAAGCTTAATAGCTCACTATAACATCAGATATGTTGAGTTCCATCAAGTTTTACAGTCCTGTTGAAGTCCAAGTAATCTAGGATTGGAAGGTAGGCAGTGAAAGGTTTCACGTTGGGTAGGGCTTGCATTAATAAACTAAGCAAATTTTCAAATCTAGTAAGAGATACTATTAGCAAAGAATCTAACTTAAGTTAGATTTATATACCTTCTTAAGTGTACCTGCAAATCCCTCTGAATGGATATATCAGTCACTTACATCCTAGACCATCTTAATCTCATCATTTATAGCTTCAACCTTAAGGAAAGTAAAGAGTTCCTTTACAGTAAGTTGCAGGACATGGGCAAGACAGGGAATATAAACCTATGAGTTAACAACATCAGCAATAGCTGAATCCTGGAGTATCTCTACAATCTAAGGAGATTAAAGATCCTTTTAAAGCTTATAAGTAATAGCATCCATTATTGTTGAATTATTTACAGCATTATCTGTTGTAACTGCTATAACACGATGCTGAAGCTGGACTGATTTAAGCACTAATACTACCTTCTATGCAAGGTTATCACCTGTATAATAAATATTCATTGGCTTAAACCCTAGAAGTACCTCATGATACTTCCAATCTGAGCTAAGAAAGTACCTAGTAATTGCAAGGAAGGAGTTTTGTAATGAACTAGTCCATACATCAACTACAAGAGAGATCTTAGACTGGGGAGGGATTAAGGACAGGGTCTCAGCTTGAGTTTTAGATAACTGCTTAAGTAAACAGCTCTTAATTAAATGCCAATTTGGTAAATTAAGAGTACATGCCCCAGCAGCCATTATAAGTAATCTGTGAAATTAAGGGTGTTCAACTGTTTGAAATGGGAGGCGAGCCGCAAGAATAAACTAAAGGATTTGATCCTTAAAGTTCTCAGGCGTATAAGACATTGCAGGCTAGTTAGTTAGTAATAGGAATCTAACTTAAGTTAGATATTATACTTACTTAGTTTTTCAGGAGACTGCTGAGCTTCTGTTAGGAAGAAGGTGTTTTCTTAATTACTGGGCAGTAGGCTTTGATATGCTGCATCATTGTTGTAACACTATTGCCATAACAAGGGTGGAGGAGAAGACAACCATAATGTTTACATTGGACCTTAGGTTTCCTATTAGGAAAGGATGCACCTTCATCAAAGTCTGTCCATGCCAGAGATGTCTGAGCTCTCCCCTAGCTCACCTTTTGCCTCTGAGATTGCATACCCTTAGCCCCTGTTGTTTCCCACCACCATAGCTGGAATGCAGGTTCACAGTCCTTACTAAATAATATAATCTTGTTCTTTCCATTTTGATTGCGGATTTGGAGGTCAGGGTGAGGGGCTGTCTGTATAATACTTATTCATGGAGTCTGTATAATACTTATTTATGGGGTATCATCTAACTGTAATAAAGAAAAGGCAGATGTAGATGGACCTGGAGTGCATTAAGGTGTATAACTACTAATGGTAGATGATAGGCTGGTAGTGGATGGAGGAGAATCAACTAATATTAAATCTATAGAGAATGAAGACTAAGACATCTTATTAAAATAGATTTAAGATACCTCTACTCACTGCTCCTAAGTTGAATAGTTACCAAGCTTAAATAACCTTTTTTATTATAAAAGTAAACATAATACTCTTTAGGTCTGCTTTATTATCATAGAAAGAAAGTAATTTAGTCACTATGGAAATTATAATCTAACTCAAGTTAGATTATATTATATTCCAAATTCCAGCTCTCCATTATTGTGCTAACTAGTAATATTTTTTCTAGGCAAACCTCATTGCACCACTAAGTCAAACTCCTTGTGCTAGTAGATATAAGGAATCTAACTAGAGTTAGATTCTATTTACATTCCAAATTCCAGCTCTCCATAAATGCGCTAGCTAATAACAGAATTCCAGGCTCTCATGGTTGCGCCAACTAGTAATATCTTTCTAGGTAAACCTTATTGCACCACTAAGTCAACCTCCTTGCGCCAGCAGGTATAAGGAATCTAACCAGAGTTAGATTTTTGTCTCTTCTTGCCACCACCACCACCACCACTATTATCATTCCTTGGTCT